TCTGTTTCTAAGCCGCCCAGTCTGCAGCGTTTAGTTAGAGCGGCCCTAGCAAACTACTATTCTGCTTTTCCCACACAGATGCCCACAGCGCTCCAGCTCTGCTCAGCTCTAAAGCGTGGCGCTGGGTCGCAGATCCACACCTGGCTCTAAAGGCTTCTTCTGAGGCTGCACCTCAGGGGTCTCCACCTAACCCTCACTTCACCCCAAGTGGAACCCCTGACAGCAGAGTGGGGTGAGCGCAGGCTCTGGCCTCCACGCTGCCTGCCACAGCCCCAGGGCAAAGGGGTGAGCCTCAATTTCCTCTTTGTAAAAGTGGGGATCGAAACACCCACTCAGCAGGGTTGCTTGCAAGGATTTGGGAAGATTGTGCAAAGGCCCAGGCCTGGGTCTGACCCTTACTTGGGACTCAACGAATGGCATCTGTTATTTTTATTATTTCTCTCAAACCTGACCCAGTATTTCCCAGGTCAGCTCCTGGAGCCACCAAGCTGGGAGCCTCGAGGGACCTCCACACCTGCAGCACCCTGCCTGCCCCCGCCTCCTGGATCTGACCTGTGTTTGCTTCAGTAACTCAACAGTCCTCATCCAGCACCTACGAAACAACAGCCATTGTGCTCTGCTGAGCGCCGGGGCCTGAATGAAGCCTGTGGGCAGGGAGGAGCTTCAGCTTATCTGCACATTAATAAACAAATTGAGTTTTAAACAATCGATTACTATGGAGGGCGGTATGCTGGGGCAAGAGGGGGAGGGGTCCTTAAGCCAGTGAATCACCTTCTTTGGCTGGCTTGTCTTTTACCCAGATGGCTGCAAGACTCAAGCTACTGTTCCCAAAGGCTTCTAGAATTTCCTTTCTTAAGCAAAAATAGACCCGATCCTTCCCTGCTTAAAATCTTCCCTGGCTGCCCCTGCCTTCAGTGGGCCCTCCTCTACATGGTGCAGCCTCACCTGTCTTCCCGCCTATCTCCTCCAGCACATCCTTCACTCTTTTTTCTTTTTTAAAATTATTTATTTATTTATTTGGTTGCACTGGGTCTTAGTTGCAGCTCGTGGGCTCCTTAGTTGTGGCTCGCCAGCTCCTTAGTTGTGGCATGCAAACTCTTAGTTGTGGCATGGATGTGGGATCTAGTTCCCTGGCCACGGAGGGAACCCGGGCCCCCTGCACTGGGAGCATGGAGTCCTAACCACTGTACCACCAGGGAAGTCCCACATCCTTCACTCTTGCCAGATGAGAGACACTGGCCTCTGTCCACCTCCAGATCTGGGCACAGGCAGTGCCCATCACCTGGGTGTCATTCCTTAGCGCACCTTTGCTCTTAGCTACCTCTTTCTATCTGAAAAACTCCCCTTATCTTTCAAGAACCAGCTCCAACATCACTTCCTTCACCAGATCTTCCCAAACACCTCCTCTCGGCTCCCAAGGCTTTACTGTGTCCATCACAGCATTTATCACCTTGTAGTGTGGAGTTTGCAGTGATTTCTTTCATATCTGTTTTCTCCACTAGATCAGGAACCCCATCAGGGGAGGAAGAGATCAGGTCTGGTTACATTTGCTGCTCCAGTGCTCGCCACACAGGGGCGCTCCACATGTGCAGAGTGAATAAATGACTGACAAAGGCGGGCGAGTCAGACTGAGCCAGATGCTCCTTACACCTCCTCCCATTTAATCCCCACACAGCTGAGGAAGTACAAGGTTACAGGAGAGCCAGCTTCCCTCTCTGCCCTGAATGGCTCAGGATACTGACACCAAACCATGGAGAGTCCTGGTACCTGAATGATTTGCATTTCATGTGCCCATAATAAGCTCTAAGTGATACGTGTTGACTGGTGACCATGCAGCTATTCTTCTCTGGTCGTCATCTTTTTTTCTGGTCTATCTCCATGGATACCCGGGAACGTTGGCTGTGGCCACAATCAGCTCAATTCAACAACCATTTGTCAAGTGCTGGGCTGTGGCTCCCACACTGGCTGAGGCTTGGAATCTCTGATTCTGAGGTTTTAGTGGGAGATAAGGATCTGCCACATTTAGAGAAGAGAAAAGAGAGGGAGAAGGCATTTCCAGTGCAGGAAAGGGGATGAGCAAAAGCAGTGGAGGGCATATGGGTAAGGGTAAGTCTGGGCTCCAGATTTTGGAGAGTCAAGAGTAATAAAATTAGAAATGGAAATTAGAAAATGCTAGTTTCCTCTACATTTCCCTTAGTTAAAAAGGCAGGTGGGGCTTCCCTGGTGGCGCAGTGGTTGAGAGTCCGCCTGCCGATGCAGGGGACACGGGTTCGTGCCCCGGTCCGGGAAGATCCCACGTGCCGCGGAGTGGCTGGGCCTGTGAGCCATGGCCGCTGAGCCTGCACGTCCGGAGCCTGTGCTCCGCAATGGGAGAGGCCACAACAGTGAGAGGCCCGCGTACCGGAAAAAAAAAAAAAAAAAAAAAAGAGCAGGTGACCAACTGGTTTGAGAACCAGGTCTGGAGTCAGTGGTGCCAGGGAACAGGGGCCATCCATGCGCACACCCAGACATGAGCCTGACTCTGGCTCCGCCAGGCCCTGGCTCTTGGGCCTGTTCTCACGCTTAACTTCTCTGAGCTTCAGGTTCCTGAACAATTATAGTAAAGACAACAGCACCTCCAGTCATTAGCACTCACCTCCTGCCAGACACCAAGCCCAGCCCTTTATCTCATTTAATCCTCATCTCAACCCTTCAAGGTGGGGACTGTTATCATCCTTATGCAGCAGATAAGTGCCTGGAGGGTAAGTAACTTGCCCAGGGTCACAGGACCGCTAAATGATCTGACTCTCAAGGCCGCTTGTTTTTCTCCCCAGTTTTATTGAGATATAATTGGCATATAGCACTGTGGAAGTTTAAGGTGTACAGTGTAATGATTTGACTTACAGACATCATGAAATGATTACTACAGTAGGCTTAGTGAACATCCATCACCTCATATAAATATTAAATATATTAAAGAAATAGGAAAAAAATTCTTCCGTGTGACGATAACTCTTAGGTCTCTCTTAACTTTCATTTATAACGTACAGCAGTGTTACCTATATCACGTTGTACATTATATCCCTAGTACTTACTTATTTAAGGCTGCTTCTTGAGCAAGGCTGGTGTGTATTGACTGAGATGACCTATGAGAAGCCTGGACACAGGGGCCCTCGAGAAGCCTCCTCTCCCTCAGCCCAGGACGCCCAGGGGAGGGACCCCGGTGTGGGCAGTCAGGTGTCCCGCTTTTCCCACCAGGGATGATGATGCTGAGGGGAAGAGGGCAAAGGCTGCTCAGAGGAAGATGATTCAAGTGCTTCCCTCTGTAACCAACACTAAGCTGCTTTGTTATGTGAATACATGAAATCACCTGCTGCAGCTGGCACGCGGGGCACCGAGCTGGATCCGTGTTTCTGACCGAGTTTCTCCCCAGGGCACAGGCGTTCCGCGTTTTGCAACTGGAATCAGGCGGCCTGGGTGCTCAGCGCCTGGCGCCTGGCGCCCTCTAGTGGCGCGAGGGAGCCTTTCCTCTGCAGCTGGGCCGTGGGGGCCCCGGGCAGCCAGGACAAGCTTTCCTCAGGACCTACTGTGTAAAGGGTATTTTTAGGAGCCACCCACTGTCCCTGAGAACCCATCTGTGAAATGAGTGGGGGAAACCGGAAAGAGGACTTGGAATCCGAAAGCTGGGACCTAAGACCCCCGGTTGCTTTAGCTCTTCCTGTGTGAGATGGGGATGCTCATACCCTCCCCACCTGCTTCTCAAGATCTTGTGAGAATCCTACGGGATGTGATGGGTGACAGCAAATTACTGCGTTCATAAGAAAATTACCAACAGAGTGAGGTCCAGGATGCTAAGGACCAGTGAAGGGCTGGGGCAGAGGGCTGAGGAGAGGGGAGGCAGTTGAGGGATGGAGTGAGCAAGACGGTGGGGGGCACGGGGTTCAGCAGAGACAGGCCCATGTGTGCAGGGCAAGGGGAGACTTTGGGGGGAGATGTGGGCAATGGCGTTGGAAAAGGAGATGCGTAAATACTCATTTCTCATTCCTTTCTCTTCATTCAAAATGATGGTTATATTTGCTTCCATACTAAAACGAAAAAATTAAAATATCTACTTCTCTGAGTGGCTTTCCCGTGGCTTGGTACCCTCAAAAAAAGGTCCCTACCCCCGCTGAAGGCTGTAATGAGGCCAGTCCTGACCCCGCCTGTGTTCTAGGTCTCCTTCCCGGGCACCCGCCAGGGACCCCTGCACATTATCCCCCGTTTGCATCCCCCCTCAGCCTAGTTTTCCGGTCGTTCCTTGTGTTCCGGCAGGAGGGCCCCTCAGTTAGAGCAATGAGGAGGGCAGCCATGCCCGCATGAGGCAGGACATTCAGTGCTTCAGAAAAAGAGTCTTGGTTTCTAGCACCCAGGCTTTTCCCTTCATTGGCTTTGTTCCTAACATCTCCAAACCTCAGTATTCCCATCAGTAAAATGGGGAAATAATAACTACATCATAATTACTCAATTAAGATTCAATGAGATCATGTATATTGCATATATAATATTGTGCCTGGCACTTAGGAAGAAAATACATGTCAGTTTATTAAGGAAGTTTCTATGTTTTAGGTTATAAATGAGAAGCTGCTTGACAACGAATGTCAGCCAGGCTTCCCATCTCAGGAAAGAGGAAACCTTGTGGTGTGGGATTGCAGAAAGGGTTGGGGGTGGGGGTGGGGTGATGGGAGGGAGACAGGAGGGAGGGGAGGGGGGAGGGGTGGGAGACACACCACTGTGTCCGGGCAACACTGTCATCTGCCGAGGTGCCACCAGGCTGCACAGTGACTCAGCCTTCACTAAGGCTTAACCCAAGGCAAAGACCACCCTGGGAGAAGCACATGCAACTATTATTATTTTTCCATTTTAATGTAATAATAATAAATTGAAACCAAAGCAGACGAATGACTTGCACGAGGTCACCTGGCCAGTGAAGATTAGAACCCAGACCTTTGTTCTTTCTGTTACCAGAAATGCATTAACCAAGCTGGCAGAAGGAAAACAATCTTTACTGTGATGTAATTGAAAACATACTACAAATGAAATTCCAGTTCAATATTCAGGTCTTACAATTCAGGGTGACCAGTACCCAAGAGGTGCTGGGGTTTCTCAGCTTCTCCAGGTCACCACTATCGACGTATCTTGATTGACAGAAGTCTCTGATGTCTAACCAAATATATTGCTGCTCCAGCCCACCGAGTGCATTCCTGGTTGTTTTTATCTTCAAGGAAGAGAGAACACTTATCCATGTAACCCTTTCTAAAATTGAAAGCTGTTATGAAATTGATTTCCATCCCAATCCCATTTTACCTAAACATTCCTGAGGTGCTTCCCTCTTACCTAAGGAACCCCAGAGCTGTATGAAATTACAGATGGCTTTGAGGTGTCCACATGCTGAAAAAGCTCTCAGGCAGCCCTGAGGGAGGAACAGGGTGAACTATTAGAGATGCCCCCGAGACAGAGTGGCCAGGATAGAAATTCACTGAGTTCCCCACAACCCAGCCAATCTAGCACGAGCACAGCATCTCAGAAGTGCTCAGCAAACACTGGCTGATTGAATAAAAGAGTCAGAACTCAACAGTTGAGGGTCAGGCTGGGAGCTGCACAGGGCTTTCACCCCAGTAAACCGGAAGCTTCTCGAGGCACAGCAAGTAAGAGCCCAAACTGACATTTAAGCAGAAGAGTTGTCATTCATTCATTCATGACTGTATGCATTCATGACTGTATGCAGCTGTGTTTACTGGGTGTCAAGCATTAGGACCAGGAGGGATGGCCTACAACCCAGCCTGTTCCCCATACCTGGAAGCACCCAAGTTGGTGGTGGAAACAGACAGGAAAACAGATGATTACCACACGACGTGGTCAGGGTCACTGGGGAGGAGTCCCAGGTTCCACAGGAGCCCAGAGCTGGGCTCCTGCCCACAGTGACACAGAAGGTGGGCCCAGGTGGAAGGAAGAGGCTGGGCCCAGAGCACCCATTTGTCCACCTTTTCCAAGGAGGACACACTCATGCCCAGAGTGTTCCTGGATGCAGCGCAAGACCAGAGTAGGGCACTCGGGTCGCTCCAGCCCTGACTGACCGCCTTGGGGCAATGCGTCCTGCTAGAGCACTGCACAGCCAAGGCAGCCCGGCAGCCCCCTGAAGGTCTACAGAATGTATTTGGTGACTAGGTAACACCCTCGTATGATTCCTAAATCAGTACACTGCAAAAAGGTTTATAATGAGATGTTACTCCTGTCCCTGTTCCTGTCAGCCTCCTTCCCTCTGTCCCCCCACAAGTACCCCTTCTTGGTGTCTTGTGTATCCTTCTAGAGTTTCTTCATCCAATTTCGTATTTCCTCCTTTTCTTACATAAAGGTAGCAAGCTATCCACACTGGCTTGGACCTTGAAAAGAGGTGCATTTCATTTTCAAAACACTACTGATCTCAAGTAGACACGATATCCATTCTGCCTACGTTCTGGTTTATTGGTAAAAGCAAAGCACAGGTCAAGGCTTTAAGTATTTGACTAGATATGAAGAAAGGCCTGTCTATACCATCTCGAACGGTGAGGGAAGCAGCACAGTCAGCCTCTCTGGTGTCCCTCCCCAGAGCGTTGCTTAGTAATGGTCACGTGAGGACAAGGATGAAGAAGGGTGTGTTTGTGCCCCACGCGGCCTGCCGGTGGGGATCAGGGGAAACATTTTAAAATCTTTTAACTATGGAGATCATGCCTGCTTATTGCAAGCAACAATCTAAAGCAAAATAAACAGAGAAAGAAATCAACTGAGAAGTCAACCTCAATCCCACTTCCCCAAAGTAACTATTGCTAACTTTTGGGCCTGTGCCCCCATTTCACAGGAGAGTAAAACTGAGGCAATAGATGAGGGAGTGTTTGGGGGGTCCTGAGAGAAGTCAGTTATGAAACGAGGGCTGTGCCTGCTCTAGGCCCGGCTGCCCCCAGAGTCCAGGTGGAGAAGCAGAGAGTGGGGGAGGGCGGGCAGGGGGTTAGCTGGCGCCCTTCCTCACTCTTACCCATCTCCGTGCTTCCTTTTCCTCTGCCTTCCCGTGTTTTCCACTTCTCCTCCCTGTGTCCACATCTTTCCTCGGCCCTTGTGCAACTCAGAACAAGGACCAAGTCTTCCTGACTGCGGCACACCCCGGCCTCACAGGGTGCTTGGCGCAGAGGGAGTGCTGCGCACGTGTTTCTTGGGAAGGCTGCCCTAGCCTGTCACACCAGCTTTTACTCCTACAAGGCGTCAGGAGGCATTCACGGGCTTTCCTGGTGGCTCGGGCCCCAGCCTCTAGACCCTCTGTCCAGGGTGTCCTCTGCAGCTCCAGCCCCCGCACCCATCAGCCCTGTGAGGAGGCGGGCAGCTGAGAGGGGCCGGCCTGAGGCCCCGCAGAAAGGCGACCGGAACTGGTTTCCAAGGGGTGGCCCTCTTCACCTACGCCCTGGAGGCCTGGGGCCGCAGCCACCTTGGTGAAATCTAGTCCTGACCACACCTAGTCAAAGCTCAGAAGCAAAGGGCAGGGGGTCCTGAGCAGGTGGACTCACCTGAGCCAGGGGGACCCTACACACCAAAGCATGAGCCAGGGCCTAACAGTTAGTAGGTCCTCAGTAAATGTATGTTGGTGGATTTAGGCCTGGGAAGGAGGTGGCCTTGCAGGGGGGCGGAGGAGAGGAGATGAAGGGCAGTCTCCTGTCACCTAAGACAGCTTGCCAGCAGGCTAGGTGCAGAAAGACAGAATTTGGTATCAGACTTGGATTTGAGTCCTGGTACCACTTCCTAGCTAATTAAACCAGGGACTGAACTCGGGCCACAGCAGTGAAAGCCCAGAATCCTAACCACTATGCCACAAGGGAACTGCCTATTTCCTTTTTTTTAAGTTTTTTTTAAAAAATAAATTTATTTATTTATTTATTTTTGGCTGTGTTGGGTCTGTTTCTGTGCGAGGGCTTTCTCTAGTTGCGGCAAGCGGACGCCACTCTTCATCGCGGTGTGTGGCCTCACTATGGCGGCCTCTTGTTGCAGAGCACAGGCTCCAGACGCGCAGGCTCAGTAGTTGTGTCTCATGGGCCCAGTTACTCCGCGGCATGTGGGATCTTCCCAGACCAGGGTTCGAACCCATGTCCCCTGCATTGGCAGGCAGATTCTCAACCACTGCACCATCAGGGAAGCCCCTTTTTTTAAAGTTTTATGAAGTGTAACTTACATATCCTAAAATTCATGCACTTTAAGTTTACGATTCAATAACTATGTCCAGAGTTGTGCAGCCATTGCCATAATCTGATTTTAAATCACTTCATCACTCCAGAAGAAACCCTGTCCTTGTCCCATTCCCACCCCAGCCCTAGGCAACCAGTCTATCTCCGTAGAGTTGCATTTTCTGGACATTTCATGTAAATGAAATCATATAATTTGTGGCCTTCTGCAAGCAACTTCCTTAACATGATGTTTTTGGGGTTCGTATGTTGTACCATGTGTCACTACTTCCTTTTTATTACTGACATAATATCCATTGTGTGGGTATAACACATTTTATCCCTTCACCAGTTTTTCAGCATTTGGGTTGTTTTCACTTCTTGACTATTTTGAGTAATGCTGCCACAAAGAACCATGAGCAAGTTTTTGTGTGGACGTCTGTTCTTCTCTCTCTCGGGTAGGTATCTACAAGTAGAACTGCCTGGTCATACAGCAACTCTGTTTAACCTTTTGAAGAACTACCAGACTGTTTTCCAGAGTTGCTGCACCATTTTACACCCCTACCAGCAATACACAAGGGTTCTAACTTCTCCACATCCTTGCAACATTCGTTATTATCCTTTTTATTTTTAACTAAAAGTCACACAGTGGGCGTGAAGTGGTATCTCACTGGGTTTTGGTTTGCATTTCCCTCATAACTAATGATGTCGAGCATCTCATTTGCCATTTGTAAATCTTCTTTGGTGAAATGTCTATCATCTTTTTGGGTCACTTACTTAACCTCTTACTCTTAATTATACCCAGCTCCTAAGGCCATGAAGCTTTATGTAGAGGGTTTGCAAAGGGGCTGCCATATAATGAGGGCTTAAAGATGACAGCTTTTAGTATTGTCGTACTCGTTGTCACTTTGGCCCCCTAGGAATACGCTGGAGTTGGGGCCCAGCTGCCCTCCCTCCTCAGGGGAAGGTGAAGGATGAGCTCCACTGGCACAAGAGTCCACATGTTCTAGATGTTCTGCTGAGCAGCTCCACACGATCTCATTTCATACCCACCAGAACCTTTTGATGAAGCATGACCTCCATATTTCTAGGGATGAAACCTTGAGGTCCAAGATATTCAGTACCTTCTCCAAGGTCGCCTAGTTGAAAGCGGTGGGAACTAAGATGTGAACTCAGAGCTGATGTTGAAGCCAGTGCCACAGGCAGGAGCTGGTGGGGGCAAGCACCAGGGACACGGCCTGCAGGGGGAACCTCCGGGCTCAGTCCGGCTGTGTAGACGGCCCCACGACTGATGAACAACTCAACTGGAGTAAGCTGCTTATCCTCTTCAGGCCTCGGCATCCTCTATAAAGTCAGAAAAAGAATAGTTCCTCCCTCGGAGGGCACCTGTCTGGATCCGATGTAGCGCCCGGCCCACTACAAGCAGGCAGCTTCCTCCTTTGTGGCTGGGCTGCGGCCAGCCCCCCACCAAGGCCACTTGGCTCTTCCTTGCCCTGAGCTTTGGCCCATCCTAGAACACAATCTCCTGACCCTGACCCTGACCCTAGGGGCCAGGCTGGAGCAAGGTGTCATTACAGCTCTCAGGGCCTGGTCCCTTATTTCCTCTCATCCCTACTTCTTGCCTTTAGGCAGTACTCTCCCGAAGCTGGAGCACCTGGAGAGGGCCTCGAGTTCTCTAGAATGATGACTTAAGATAAAGCATAAGAAAAGCAGGGTAATAAAAAATAAAGCTTTATTAAAGCAGCTAAGCTTAGCAGCACTGAATAACACACTTTCAATGGTATACCTCGGAAGCAAGAGTTAAATAGAACAGTCTAATAGGTGCATTTCTGATTAACTGTGATCATTCTAAGTCACTCTCTTCTTTTCCATTTACCGATTCAAAGAGAAAAGCTCTTGTCATGTTTTGTACCTCTTACCTCCTTGACTTGGCAACAAACTGACCCTGCATTGGGCTCCAGCCGGAGGACCCCAGTTGAAGGGGTCATCAGCTGAAGGTCTCCAGACCTCCCTATGGAGCTGGGGCTCTGACTGGAGTCCCAGCCTCTCTCTCCTGTAACCGTGTGAGGTGTGCAGGGCCGCATCTGGTTTCCAGCATCCACCACCCCTTCAGAGCACCTTCTAACCAGAGACAGGAGGGGAAACTAGTGCTGCTTGGTCTGAACAGACTTGAGGAGGTTTTATCACAAGGACCTGAAGACTGACTGAGCCTACCCCTGCACTGCACAGCATCCCTCATCCGAGGGCTCCGGTCACAGAGGGAAGAGCAGATCGAGGCTGCCTTAGTCTCTTTTGCCTCCTGGGACTGGGCTTCTCGTGAGGAGCTTCCCTGAGCTGGAGGGGGTCAGTGAGGTCACTGTGCGGGAGTCCAGCTTCACTCTGTCCAGGAGGGTCTTCTTGAGGGCAGCTGGGGAGATCTTTTCTTGGTCGGCCATGGACTGCAGCTCTCTGCAGACAAAGCCCCAAGAGGTTGAAGGAGGAGCCAGAGCTGCATGAGGCTTCCCCATTCACTTAACCCCCAACCCTTGTTGACTTGGTACCAGCCAAACTTAGAACCCCAAACCAAAAACTCCCCTAAGCTTCCTAGAAGTGCTATTTAACTAAGTAGGGGTTACTACATAGATGTAGAGCTTTAAGTGTTATCTGTGATCAGATGGGGAGAGAGAGTGTGGAAAAATCACAGGACTGGAGGTCAAAGACTTGAGGTCGAATCCTGCCTCCATCACTTACTAGCTGTTTGACCTTGGGAGAGCTGTATCTCTAAGCCTCGACTTCCTCATCTGTAAATCAAGCTAACGCCAGCTATCAGAACTGTGTGAGAATTAAATGAAGGCCTACAAACCCTTACCTAACAAAGTCTAATAAATCGTGGTTATTAACAGAGCACATAAAAATAAATAAATTAAAAAAAAAAATTTAAATTAAAAAAATAATAATAAATTAAAAAATAATAATAAATTAAAAACAAAACAAAACAGAGCACAGACTCCAGCATTGGTAATGGGACCAAAGAGGGCAGATTCTGCAAGACGGTGTGCAGCCCATACTGGGGCTGGCTGGGAGTAGAGGGCCTGGGCAGAGGAGGAGAGAGACCCACCGTGTTTGGATGCAGGAGGCCTCAACTGCGTTGATGAGCAGGGAGCGGAAGCCCCCGCTCTCTAGGACGTGCAGGGCGTGGATGGTGGCCCCCCCAGGGGAGCAGACATTGTCCTTGAGCTGGCCCGGGTGCTGCTCTGAGTCCAGCAGCATCTTGGCAGCCCCCTAGGGCAGGAGGGAAGCATTAGAGCAGAAAACTGCTGGTGCCCCTTGAGATGAGCTTCTCCACACCCACTGCTCCTCCCCAATCCTTATCCCAGCTTCCCAACCAAGCCGTGCCCCGGCCCAGTGACCCCTAAGAACCCCATCCCCACACTGTGGTCCAGAACACGCAGGTGGAAGATACTGACCAGCAAGGCCTGGGCCCCCAGTCGGACAGCCAGGCGCCTCGGCAGGCCCATCTTCACCCCACCGTCGGCCAACGCGTCCAGGGCCATGAACGCCTGTGGAGACACTCACTGAGCCCTGGGGCAGCAGGCACTCAGGGGCACCCCCTAGGGTCTACTTTTCCTGATGACTGGAACTAGCTCCAAGGGTTGACCTCCTCCACCAGCCTGCCTTGCCCAAGAGGTGGGTGACACCCCCAGCCCAGGCCTGCCTGCCAGCCCATCTTGCGTCCCTGGGTCCCCGGAAGGCTGCGTAAGTATATGAGGGCCTCACATAGGCAGGCCCGCTGCCGCTGAGCCCTGTGACGGCGTCAATCAGGTCCTCCTCCACCTCAGTGCAGAAGCCCACGCTGCTCATGAGCTGCTCCAGGAGCTGCCCATCCTCCACCAAGGCATGGGTGCCCGTGGCGTACACTGTCGCGCCCTCTCGCACCAACACGGGCGTGTTGGTCATGCAGCGGATCACCTTGGGGGCCGGTTGGAATGCCATCAGCTTCTGGGGTTAAGGCAGAGGGCCGAGTGAGTGGCCAGTCCCACTAGCACCCACCCCTCCTCCCCTCACACAGGACTGCCAGGGCTGAGATGGGCACCTTCTCGACAGAGCTGATGGTGACACCTGCCGCGCAGGAGACCACAATGTGCCTGGCCTGAACGTCGGCCCTGATCTCGTCCAGGATGAAGGGGATGATGTGTGGCTTCACGGCTAGGAACAGGACGTCACTGTGCCTCACTGTCTCCTTATTACTCCGGGTCAGGTTCACACCCATCTTCTGCGGGAGGAGACCACTGGGCTCACAGTGTGCAGCCTCCCTAGGCCCAGGAACTCCCAAGGAGCAGCCGAACCCCGCAACAAGCCTGGAATTCCCTGCCCCAGCCCCTCAGGGTCTGCCCCTACCGCCACCGGCACAAAGTTTTCCAATGTTGCTACCGGGCAAGTGAGCATAGGTGCTGGATGCGGACAAGCTTCCCCATGGCAACCAGGAAAAACCCCATCCCCACTTCTCTGGCACCCAAGGCACCCCTCTGCCAGGTAATAAGTCTCCATGGCTGGAAAGTGGCAAAGGGAAAGGTGAAATGCTAGTAGTGCCCAATGGTCGGAAGTGAGGCTGTATTCCAACTCCAGACACTTGTTCATCAGAGTGCAGTCTCTGTGTGGTCCAGGGGTAGGCTGGAGGATACCCATCTCTC